CAAAAATAATTATATTTTAGAAGTTAGTTTTAATATAAAATTATAACGACTTGTGCCATCTACTTTCAAAAACATTTAGATGCAGAAACGAGATATCTCGGGTCAAACGGTCAAGGTCAAACGGGTCAACGTCAAAGCGACCAGATATATATCGGGAATAACACTGGACAGGTAAATGGGTTTTTTCAAAGATTCGTTTGTCAAAATTGGATTTTGCAACGTTTGCATCTCCTACTTCCCAATGAGCAACGCATGTGCAAATCTCGCACTAATACCTGTTTGTAAAGTTTGGTTATTTTGTATTTTATTCTAACTCAGTTCTTGGTCCCCCGAGTACGTACAAGTCTGGTTTTTGTATGCGCACATGATTTTGGCACCTAATACTATGTGCCAAATTGACACTCCTGACATGTACAGTACTCCTTCATACCTCTAAGCTGATAACATAATGGTGTTTTTGTGGTCTCTGAGTGGTAAAGAGCCCAAAATCACAAATAATAAAAAGAGCTGGTAACACAGAACAGCACCGCGATTTTTCGAGGCCGGATGGCCGAGCGATCAAGGTGGCAGCCTACCACTCTGGCGGACCCGGTTTCAAATCTGAACGGGTCGAAAAATCCGCAGGAATTTTTCGGGGGGTGGTCCGTTTAGATATGTCGGGCACTGTCCTCACCACCCAGCACCCCCATTGTGGGCCTGGCCGAACCCATAATGGGTTTGCAAAATGAGGCCCTCTTAGTGCCCACAGGACGGAAAGAGTTAAAAAAAAAAGCACCGCGATTTTATAAACAAAACATAGTCTTGTCAATAAGATAGTTGAAAAACTGTAGATATATTTTTAATTGATGTGTACTTGACAAATTAAACTGTACCATTTCGTACTGTCCGAGTATTGCAATAAACGTGACAATAATAGGTTGAAATAACCAAACTCTTTATATGGTTTATTGTTTTAATGTTCGTTATAATATCGTATTTGATTTGTACGTATTTAAATAAAATACTATAATATAAGGTTAATTAAACCTGTACCCAATCGAACACTTTTAAAAAATTCTTTAAATTATGTACAGTACAGTAATAAAGAATTTTTAAAATGTGTTCGATTTGGTACTTGGTGTGATTAACCCTTACGTGAGATAACCTTCGTAGTTATATAAACCAATTACTGTATTGTAATATAATAGAATTAATAAACTTAATCTTTGGTGTTGTTATTTTTTGCTCGAGCAACGCCGGGCTCATCTGCTAGTAATTAATGGTTTCTGTAAAAATCGAAGAAATATAATTCGAAGTTTGGCTTTACTGCAAACCTCCTGCTGATTGTTTAGGGAAGGAAATTAGTATTTGCTCTTGGGTTCAAATACAAATTTTGTCAAATTTGTGCCTGAAATCGTTAAGTTTTTGTATTACAGCTTCTGGCACAATCCCTGGGAAAGAAAAATCAACACAATAAAACCTATTTTATATTCCAGTACGAACAGATAGGTTTTTGTATAAAACAAAGGCAGGTGAGTTTTTATGATAAAGAAAAATGAAAAGTTGTTAAACGTAGAAGTTTCATTTATTATTTCATTATAATGTAAAATCATTCAACAAATTACATATACAGGGTAAACCAAAGTTATATGGTGAAGAAAATTAGACGATGAATGCTTGTATGAACTGAAAAATAAAGCAACACAATTGAAAAGCCATTCTTAGTATCGTTATGCGGAATGGCTGTAAAAATAGGTTAACAAATCGAATTGTTCTATTGTAGCGAATGTTTCTATTTGATTTTAGAATTTTTTGAACGTTTAATGTAGCCTTGAAAATTTTAATTAAAGATAAGCATACGACTTTTGTATTACAGTAACAAAACTTGCATGTACTGTAATACTTTAGAACCTTGAATAATAAGTCTAATCTGTGCTAATCGGTCAAAAATAAGGTGTATGTTGTAGTAGTCTGCTCATCACTAAACAATTCACTAACTCACTCCCACCCCTCTAACGGTATTTTTTGCGGCCGGATGGCCGAGCGGTCAAGGTGGCAGCCTACTGCTCTGGGGGACCCGGGTTCGAATTCGAACGGGTCGAAAAATCCCCAGGAATTTTTCGGGGAATGGTCCGTTCAGATATGTCGGACCCCCGTCCCTCACCACCCGGCAGCGCCATTGTAGGCCTGGCCGAACCCATAATGGGCTTGCAAAAAGAGGCCCTGTTAGTGCCCACAGGACGGAAAGAGTTAAAAAAACCTTCTAACGTTGAGATGGTGAGTTAGCAAAAATTATATTTTGTTTTTTCAAATTTGTTTTTCAAAAAACATTATATTTTCTCTGTTTCTGTTTTGTTTGCTATAATAAGAAAACACAATTCAATTAATTCCTAAATAAAATTTACACTCACACCTTCCACCATCTAACTGATTTACCTTATATGTTTTGTTTAAAAACTAGGCAGGGAAAACAGTAATTACACGTACTTAGTATGTGTGCGTTTATTAATTACTCGTTTAGATAAATTTGAGATGGTTTTAGCTAATATATCTTAATGTGAACCAGGATTATCATTTTCTATATTTTACAAGCAATTATTTTTAGGTACTGTCAAGAAGTAACAATAAGTAAAACTTCCACTTTACCTCTCAAGTATGAAGAACTACTTAAGGTGTGTTTTTATATTTTGTACTGTAATAATTGTGTAAAAATTTAATTTCTATTTATATCGCAAACTTAAATTGAAGGTCTTAGTGAAAGGAGATAACTAGCAGAATGGTATTGCGAAATTTGAGTTCAGATATTTTATAAATACTGTATTACATCTGTGTTGCAAACCGTCTTCTTCCACCACAAAACTTCAGAATAGATGGTGGTCAGTCTTAATTAAAGCATTTACTAGGCATTTATCTCTGGCTTCCAAACTATTAACTCAAATTTCACGAAAATGTCAGTTACCTTCTTGTGTTTTCAAGCCCTTCAATTGTTAAGAAAGTTATAATGTGATTGCAATGTATGATTTATTATGGAATTTCTAACGTATTAATTCTGATTCCAAACATTTTATTAATGCTTACAAATCACAGATTTGGAATATTGCTTCTTCTAAATATTGACTATTTTTTGTGTGTTTCTGAAAGAAATGGGTCTAAACCAGGTACGTGTAAGAATATTAATTAACATAGTATTTGAGTGAAAGAATAATAATTGACTGTAAACAATTTTGTATAATTTTAGTAATTGAACGAAAGATGGTTGGAGGATCGCCCGCAAATACTGCTGAGTTCGCTTTTATAGTAAGTCTATAGGTGCAAACAGTTTTATTAAGGCTCCTATACTTATTAAGAAAATTAATTTAATTTAGGCAGCAATATTCCTGAAAAATGAGTTTGTAGGTGGTTTTTCTTTAATCAACTCACGCACTTTAATAGGAGCAGCGAAAATTGTAGAAAGGTGTGTTTATATTAATTTTTATTAGAATTTTTTGTAGGAATGCTATTTAATAATGAATATTTTGGTATAATATTGGTTAACTATAAACTTGAATATAGTTTAAAATTGAATAACAATAAATAAATGTTGACCTTTATATTTCTTATTATTAGTAGCTGTAAAAAATCTAGCAACTAGTAGCTTAACTTTCCCAGAAACATTTGATACTGCGTGTTTCGCCATCTGTTAACATATTTCATTTAAAAATCTCTTCATGTGTTAATTATTATAAAATAGCAACACCTTCATTTTAAGGGTAAAGATGGGTTTTATAAAAAATTGTAAATCTTAATAACGAGTAAAATTTTTAGTAAGCCTGACCCTCGAGACGTAAAATATAAATCCCCTTCTCTATCTCCCCACTGCAGGGAGAGTGAAATTTGATACGATTTCAATTTTTTTTATTTCCATGTGTACAAAAGTACAAATGTAATAATTATCGGAATGAAACGAGGGTAGTCAGCAGGGAAACTTTTTGAGAGGAAAAAATTTGTTCCAAGTTCAACTGACAGGTAGCGTTTACATACAATGTCTACACAGAGTCCATGTATAAACGACAATGAAAATGACTTTCAATGTGATTTCTCATTCTGGGGTATCTAAATTCTCGATTGTTTCTATCAGACCCTATCATATTCTTGTCATTGAAAAATTATACTCGGTGCAAGGAAACATTCATCCTCCCTGACAAGCTGCACTTTGCAGGTGCGGGCATTTGCTTCACATAATTGTGTTATACCCGAGTTTAAACATTTGTTTAATAAAGACATTAAAACACAATATTTTTATTATCATTTTCCATGGTTTTATATGTCAACACCGCTTACCGGCAGCATTTGGAAATGATTTCCAGTTAACCAAAAGCACCTTGCTGGCAATATTCACCATGCAAACTGCATTTTATAATTTTTCCATTTTTTTGTAAATGTTTAAAATTTTTACGGACTTTTTCTTATCTGTATATTCAGCAGAATAATTTTTTGATAACATGAATATTTAATATTTTAATAGTTACTATAATTTGTTGTAAAAGTTGTGCTGAATGGTTCTAATCTTTTACTTATTTCGAAAAACCGTGTCTTTTTTTTAATTTTTTCACTTCATAACTGGATGTATTGGTAGACACCAAGCATCTTTAACATCACTAATTATTTAGGAATAATCGGTGTATAAGATATTCCTGAATAACTAGTGATGTTAAAGATGCCCAGTGTCTACCTAAGTGTGATAATCTGACAGTATTATTGAGATAATTTATATAATTTTAACGTAATAAATAATATACTTTAATTTCACTCAAAATTATAAAAAATTGATAAAATTGGGAATAATTAATAAAACATAACCTAATAAGGTTATAAAACTTTCACATCCTGTAAAATTGCTCTGTCACGTAGCACTTTTTCAAGAACTGAGGATGCTTTGCTTCCTTCTCCACGCCTCGTATCTTAGAATTTTGCACACCACCTGCTCGAATGTCATAATCAATTTCTAAGAATTAATATTATGAAATAATTGGGGATAAAAGAGCTGATTGGCGGACTCTCGGGGAGTTCGTTCAGATTCTTGCTAGAGTGAGTGCTCCTCATCCACTAGCTTATCCTGGCCTCCCGACTCCACTATCCAGGAAGAAATCAACGAGAGAAATGTTCCCAACATGAACAACGAGGTAAAATTTATTGTAAAACTTTCTCGGGTTTAGCTTAAATTAACATAGAGATAGGAATTATCCATACATAGGTATTCCCCATATTGTTATTACTTTGTATTATGTTATTCCTTTGTATCAATTATATTCTGCTGTAGTATTGTTAGTAGTAATTAAGTTGTTAATTTATATTTAATGTCCTTCTCGTCTGGTATTCATTCCTTATGCACAGACCCCACACAGAATCTTACCACTCGGGTTCTGAGAAAAATTAAGCCATCCAGTGACAAGGTGAGCAGGTCTAACAGATCTGACGATTAGAGGGCCTGGACCCTCGTCCGTATTCTCACATAAGCATCCAGTTGCGAAGATAAAAACGTTCCATTCTTAATTTCGATACAATTTAAAACAGCACAAGTGAAAATGTGTGTAACATCGGTAGAAACGAATAATAAGTAATTAACATAATTTTTTCAAGGTACAAACACTGCGATCTAAACTCGCAGCAATCTGGTTGTAGGCCAACGTTAATTTGATTCTAACTTCCAAAATTTTTGTTTTTACTTTAGAACTTTTTCTTAGATCGAAACAAAATTTTTAAATGAAGAATCCATTTCAAACAAAGAAAATTGCTTTGTCTTTTACTTAGTAAAAATACAGTAGAGCCTCGATTATCCGACCCCCGATTAACCGCCACCTCGGTTAACCGACCGTCCTAGTCGGCAAATTTCAAATGTCCGCTAGTGATGTGGCACTACAATATTTGGCTATGTCTCGGCTACTTTAATATTATTTTTACGTGTTTTAGCTGGCAACACTCATTCGACCTTGAAAGGGAGCCAGTATTTAAACGAGGCTTAATTTTCTAATTTTTAACGATACAATAGCGACGATTATTATTTTAAAAAATTTTTGTTAGGCTTAACATCGATGAAAATTCAACGCGAAGTACGTTAATAGCGATATACTAATATACTAATTACGTGGGATATAATAATATACTACACTAATAATGAATTTTTTCATACTTTTCGGTTACCCGACTTTTCAATTATCCGACCAACCCCAGTCCCCAATTGGGTCGGATAATCGAGGCTCTACTGTACTTTTTAAATATTTGTATCAGACTCAATCTTCTTCGGAATTTAAAAGTATGCGGTCCAAAAATTCTTTTACGAACAAATTCTCTATAAATGTAGAAAAATCGAGTTATAGTCGTGTTTATTTAGTACAAATACTTCCAGAAGCCGACTTCACAGGTCTCCAAAATACGCAAGAGGTTTTCCAGGAGGCATTCTCTCTAAGGAGATTGCTCAAGTGTTGAATGACATCATCTCATAATTCCATTCATCTAACAAATTGGCTCTGAAAAATAATCTGAAATCAACTGCCATATACGGCCGAATTTGGGAAATAGAATTATCACGCATTTTTTTAGAAAAAAGTCTTCAAGTATGCACAAAGTAGTAATTCATAATGTTGAATAATGGCATTTCTACTTTAGAAATAACACGTAGCAGAGAAAAAAATACCATAAGAATATGTTTACGAAAAGTATTTTAATAATGTTTGACTCTATTTTATTGTTTTTTCTGATGATTATTTAATTAATTTTCTTTTTGATGCAGCAATGATGTTAATGATTATTATGGAAGAATTGGTAATAAAAACAAATATGAAGGGACGAACTTGACGTTTACAAAAAAATTTATACACCCAAATCACGATTCAGTAGGGAATGTCCATGATATTGCGCTTCTGATTCTTCAAGAACCTGTCCAAAATATGCTCTCAATTGGTCTACCTGGTAGTAACGAAACGTTTACTAATGGTTTGGTGAAGATTGTCGGTTGGGAAACAAAAAATTTCGGTAAGTATTTCAATTGTCTGTATTATATAAAATATAATACGGGAATAAAAATAAAAAATATATATTTTTTAATTTACATACAGAACATGATACAAATTTTCTTCAAGTAGCGGAAGCGAATTTAATGGATCCACAAAGCGCTGCTCGTCAGTTTGGAAAGTCCATAACTGGTGAAGAAATTGTAGCAGTACCATCTGAAGGAAAAGTAGTGAAAGTAAAGCAGTTACCATTTTCGACATATACTTTATAGCTAATGTTATCCTGTTAATTTTAAGAGTTTATTTTTGTTTACAGGGCGAATATGGCTCATCATTGATATTCACAAATAAATCAGGAAAACAAATACTCATTGGCATTTTGACTAACCCAAGCAATAGTGACAAAGAACCAGATATTTACCTATCAACCAGTGTTAATATTGATTTTATAAATCGTTACCGCTGTGAAAACGTCACATGCGTTTAAGTATATAATTAGAATATTGCAGAGACCGTTTCTATTAAAAAAAACTATACTTGTCAAATCTAAATTGTTATTGCAGTGAGCATGTATTTTTCGAGAATATATCAAAATAATCAACAATTTATATATTCCAGTTTTTATTAATTTAAAAGATTTTTGACGTGGATATAATTTTGTTTATTTATTTACTATTTAAAATATGCCTGTGATTCCTTTAAATAAAACCTAAAAAGAATCCATATTGAATTTGTGAGTGAGTTGAATTTACGTTAATTATTTACCGTACGTATAAATAAATCAAGACTTTCGCTATTGTACAAATTTGTTTTTATCGGTACAGAAACTGATTTGTATGTATTTAAGCAAATAGAAATTTAAACATTGCAATTTATAGTATCGTCCTTGTTTAATTTTTTGTATATTTACCTTAGCCGATGTTTTATTAAAGCAGATTAAAAATATAAAACACACGAAATCCAAAAATTGGAAATTGTGCCTTATTTTTCGGCTGTCAAATGCGTGTTCTACAGCTGACTGCAACTGATATTTAGTGATGCTTTGCAAATGCACAGTAATTCGATCCAATTTAGCATAATAACTTTTCGAATAGAAGATTTCATTAATTCTGTAAATGTTATAATAGCAACTGTAATTNGAACCTGTCCAAAATATGCTCTCAATTGGTCTACCTGGTAGTAACGAAACGTTTACTAATGGTTTGGTGAAGATTGTCGGTTGGGAAACAAAAAATTTCGGTAAGTATTTCAATTGTCTGTATTATATAAAATATAATACGGGAATAAAAATAAAATATATATATTTTTTAATTTACATACAGAACATGATACAAATTTTCTTCAAGTAGCGGAAGCGAATTTAATGGATCCACAAAGCGCTGCTCGTCAGTTTGGAAAGTCCATAACTGGTGAAGAAATTGTAGCAGTACCATCTGAAGGAAAAGTAGTGAAAGTAAAGCAGTTACCATTTTCGACATATACTTTATAGCTAATGTTATCCTGTTAATTTTAAGAGTTTATTTTTGTTTACAGGGCGAATATGGCTCATCATTGATATTCACAAATAAATCAGGAAAACAAATACTCATTGGCATTTTGACTAACCCAAGCAATAGTGACAAAGAACCAGATATTTACCTATCAACCAGTGTTAATATTGATTTTATAAATCGTTACCGCTGTGAAAACGTCACATGCGTTTAAGTATATAATTAGAATATTGCAGAGACCGTTTCTATTAAAAAAAACTATACTTGTCAAATCTAAATTGTTATTGCAGTGAGCATGTATTTTTCGAGAATATATCAAAATAATCAACAATTTATATATTCCAGTTTTTATTAATTTAAAAGATTTTTGACGTGGATATAATTTTGTTTATTTATTTACTATTTAAAATATGCCTGTGATTCCTTTAAATAAAACCTAAAAAAGAATCCATATTGAATTTGTGAGTGAGTTGAATTTACGTTAATTATTTACCGTACGTATAAATAAATCAAGACTTTCGCTATTGTACAAATTTGTTTTTATCGGTACAGAAACTGATTTGTATGTATTTAAGCAAATAGAAATTTAAACATTGCAATTTATAGTATCGTCCTTGTTTAATTTTTTGTATATTTACCTTAGCCGATGTTTTATTAAAGCAGATTAAAAATATAAAACACACGAAATCCAAAAATTGGAAATTGTGCCTTATTTTTCGGCTGTCAAATGCGTGTTCTACAGCTGACTGCAACTGATATTTAGTGATGCTTTGCAAATGCACAGTAATTCGATCCAATTTAGCATAATAACTTTTCGAATAGAAGATTTCACTAATACTGAAAATGTTATAATAGCAACTGTAATTATAATTAAACTTTTTGTATAATATTTTAGGTAAAATATCTGAAATTCCAACATGTTTTTATAATGAATGACCAATGTTCATATAACTCTGTGTAACTTCTGTTGAGTCAACAGTGTTTGATAAGTCTATCATAGAGCAAAAGTTATGCTAACATATTCAATTATAGTAATATAACGACATAGAACACAACACCAACGCCGAGAATGTCGTATAAACAATTTTTATATTTTGACATTTATTCAAAATATCCAAATTTAGTTGATATTTTCTATAAAAATATTAATAACTCTTATTAAAATAGATAAATCCCAGTTCCTAAATTTTTTTATTAATTCTAGAAGATAGTGTAAATGTGTAATAGTTGATAGAGTCAGTTATGTAAAGAATTTCAAGATTCGGAATGTTAAGGATTTCCTTGCTTTCTCGATTCTACGATAATTTTGCAACACTGGAAATGACATCCTTATCATTGTATGTGATTTTTATTGTTTGAAGTAGTTCAATTTACGCCATGTTTACGACAGATAGCTTGAGACGACAGACATTAGATTCATTTGTATAGAAAGTATAAATGTATAAGTAAACAGATAATTAAACACTACACATTTAATAATGGGTTTCTATTAACTGAGATGGCTTCTTTCACCAAATACCCAAATTTAGTACTTTGAATATATCATTCCAAGTTTCTGAAACTGTAAATTAAAGTATATTTGACACATTTTCTTTTTAAATTAATTTCTAACAGTACTTACAAATTTTATAAGATGCCTAAAAGGTGTAACGACTATTCAAAGATTAACATTTTAATAGCAAATCAAAAAATTCCATTGGAAGCTAAATTGAAAATTTTAATTTTTCAATGTTGTGTCAGACATTTTAAACTTCTCTAAACTCGAATTTTGACATATCTAACAATTTCTACAGATTCCAAATATTTTATGGAGTTAATATTCGTATTTTAATAAAAAAAAATTAAACAAAAAATTACTCCATATACAAAAAACATAGGAATTTAATTACAAATTCCCGGTATTTTGATTAAATAAATTCTAGAACATTACATACAATTAAAAATAAATATGAATACTTACATTACAATCTAATATATAATCGAGACGGGTTGATAATGATAATGATAATAATAATAATAATAAGCGCAGAGCCCAAACGGTTAGGAGTTGAAAGTTGAAACTTGGTACACAGATAGGGTTCGTCACGAAAACGCACGCCTAAACCATAATACAAGTTTATAAAACTAAAGTAAACAATGCGAAAATATTTATATCCTCTATCGTTTTATATCTGTACAGTATTAGGGTTTGGGAAGTCTCGACATTCTCAAAGTCCCGGGACACGAGACAACCCACGATCAAAATCCCGGGACGTCCCGGGACCTCGAGACTTCTCAGAATAAAATTAGAATCGTTGTGTACTGTAGAACTACTGGTACTGGGTTCACGTGCGACTAAATAAATTCTAGAACATTACATACAATTAAATTCTAGAACATTACATACAATCCAGATGGCAGAACGCGCTGGTTGGTCGGCTGAATGAGGTCAACCCACCGAAATAGGAAATGCTGATCGATTACTGTAGACCCCCCTATAACGCTTAGATACGTTCCACCTAACCGAAAATTACGTTGTAGGAATGATTACATACATGAGCCAATCGCAGCCCGATAGGTGGGAACTTTACGGACTAAGGCTGTTTGAAAGGTTTTCTTCTATAAAATTAACCGATTCTAGACTAATTCCACTCAACATTTCCAAAAC